GCTCTACTCGGAGTACTAAGTACGCAGTCGAGGTTCGATTCAAGTCGTGGAACAGGTTACTTAGCGATTCCACGCAACACTGCACCTCCGGCGAAAAATCACAGTGACTTAAGTAATGGAACAGTTTCCTCACCAATTATTCACAACGCTGTGTTCTTGGTACTAAGATATCAAGGTGATTTTTTAAATTGGCGGAACATTACTCATTGATTTTTCGAAAAAGCTTTTTTTTGTCAGCAAATAATTCAATTTCCTTAACTACCCAAAACCTTATGGTAGTCGTTCTATGCCGTTGTGAGGGCAACGGTTTGTAGGTACTTATGCAAACCTATCCCTGTCTCTGAGCACGGACGGTATGGTTATCTTGAGTGTGGGGGGTTCTTCCCGGAACCTCAATTGAGTCAAGGGTGTCGCCACCTCTGGTGGATAGGTTCATCCGGGTGGGTCCCACTTCTATACCTGCCTCCTTTTGGGAAACCCTGATGGCCTGGCAGTGATGTTGGGTCTGACGGGCAAACGAAGTAGATCGGGTGCTGGGTCCGAGCCCGCCAGGGGTATCTGGGGATCTATCGCTCTGGATATCTCTGGTTCCCAGCAATGGGTCAGGCCTCGATCGGGCAGCGGTGTAAATGGGAGGTTGGGGTTCCCCCCGTCAGCGTGCTGATGGTCCCCTTCCTCCTGGCTATTGATGGCGGGTTCTGCCTGTCAGGGATGAGATAGGTCCCGAGTGTTGCTTGCACTAAATGCGTCGGGGCGCTCTACTATGGACCTCTAGGTTCCGACCTAGTGGAACCCAGGTGGAGTGACGCTTAAACAAGCAGCCGGAATCCCTGGTTAGGATTGAGGGGCAACCCTCTTTCCGAAGGGTCTGCTTCGGCAGCCGGCGAGCCTGATGACCTTAAGTCATCCGCCCATGATGCGCTAAAGGTTGATGCGTAAGCTTCGGCCTACATCATGGGGCCCGGGTATGTCCTGAAGGATAGGTACCGGGTAAGCAGTCAGGGGGCTTCGGCTCTCATGACAACAAATCTAAATCTAAGTCGTTCTATGCCTCGACTGCTATATTGATCTGGTTAGTTACTACCACCGAAAATAAACATTATTTAACATTGCTTAAATGGAAGTGCCAAAACATATGTTCAATGCTATTAGTATAGGATTCGGGCCAACAACGTCATTTTGTTTATTTTTATGATCCATACCGGTATTTTTCTAGTAATCGTGGTTACTACATATACCACACCTACTGTACGAAATACGCAAAAAATTCAAATTTTTTGATAGGTTACTTATCAATTTTTAATAAAAACCTCATGGTAAAAAACGCGCAATGGTGACTTGAAATTCATGGAAAATTTTACTTAACTATCGAGTATAATTCCACGAAAACCTGTACTCCGGACGGGAAACACACAATCACAGTGACTGAAGAGCTGGAGAACATAATATGAAAATAAAATTTCCTGATGGACACGAGTCATATATATTATATACGACTCGTGTCCATCAGGAAATTTTACTATACAACTATAACTTATAATTCAAATAAACATTAGTGTATGGGAAAAGGGTATTTGTACTGCTGTTTTCATATAAAAGTCAATATTTAAACTCCTGATCAAATTCAAAAGCTCTAAACCAAAAGAAAGGTCAATTCAACTCTACAAACTAACTTCAGACGTTATTCCTATGGTGTACATTTTTGAAGCAAAAATGCAGTATGGAAGGGCGAAATAATTCGTGCAAAGCAACACCTGTTTTGAGGATTGAGTCACAAGATGTATTGGCTTCTTATGAACACTCCAGCTATCGACATGTTCAGTCGTGTGTTCACATGTTACTAACTCTTTATAAACTCAACCCCTGTGATTACGGTTTAAATTATTAACAAATGTACTCTTGTCATTGTAACTTTTACGACAAATAAATTGAAAAACGCTGATTGACGTGCGAGACTCATAAAATATGTAGCCTACATTTAACATTTTGTTGTGTAGCCTATTTTTATGCCTGACATGGCCGAGTATATAGTGTGATAACTAAACATCAGGATTTATAGAAAAGAACGAGAATCTCTTACATGTTTTTAATTGTTCACAAAATAAAATATGACAAATACATTGCAATAGAAACTGAGTTACAAAAACTTAAGATTTAAATTCAAGCAAGTGAATTCATCTCTAAAAGGATAGAAATTTTACAAGTCTCAAAATTAAACAAGAGAGAGAATGATTGGAGAGTTTGGAGAGAGAACTACTTACTAGATCAGAGTCTAATGTGAGAATGACATGTAAGATTCATTTAGGAGAGTCCGTCGATGGGATCCCCCACTACAATTATTTTATTAATAAAATATGCCTTATAAGGAGAATCCTTGAAAAGGATTGCTCTGATTGGTCATGGCTTTCCCAAACAGTGGGGAGGCCTCACAGGAAACTGAACTTCCTCTGTACTAGCGCGGCCCATGAGATAACTGAATCTAGGCTTTTAATAATTTTGTCAAAACAAAGAAAACTCAAATATACTTATGGTAGTTTTGAAATTAAAATCAATTTTGAATTATTAAAAATTATAATTTAGTTACTCAAATACAATTATAATTAAGGTTCTATTGCTCATCATTACACTATGTTCATTCAACAGTAACTTTCATCATTTCAAGTTCAATTACCTACCATACTGATGCGATTAAAATAAATATCCACCATCATTTCAAGTTCAAGTACCTACCGATGCAAACTAAATGAGAATACCCACCATATTATCAAGTTCAAGTGCCTACCGATCCAAGTAAAATTAATATCCAACATAATTTCAAGTTCAAGTGCCTACCGATGCAAATAAAATAAATATCCACAATCATTCCAAGTTCAAGTACCTACCGATCCATGTGAAAGAATATCCTATATCATTTCAAGTTCAAGTACCTACCGATCCAAGTAAAATTAATATCCAACATAATTTCAAGTTCAAGTACCTACTGATGCAATTAAAATAAATATCCACCATCATTTCAAGTTCAAGTACCTACCGATCCAAGTAAAATTAATATCCAACATAATTTCAAGTTCAAGTACCTACTGATGCAATTCAAATAAATATCAGCCATTATTTCAAGTGCAACTACCTACCGATCCAAGTAAAATTAATATCCAACATAATTTCAAGTTCAAGTACCTACTGATGCAATTAAAATAAATATCCACCATCATTTCCAGTTCAAGTACCTGCCGATCCAAGTAAAATCAATATCCACCATGATTTCAATTTAAAGTGCCTACCGATGCAAGTGAAATGAATATCCAACATATTTTCAAGTTCAAGTACCTACCGATCAAAGTAAAATAATATCCAACATAATTTAAAGTTCAAGTACCTACTGATGCAATTAAAATAAATATCCACCATCATTTCAAGGTCAAGTACCGATCGATAAAGTAGTGATGCAGTAAGTAGATTGTTCAAATTGCAATGTTAAAAAAAGTTTTAACTCTTAATCCTGGAAGTGAGGAAAACTTCATTACAATAATTAGAAGAATAACACTTTTGTGGCATTACATTACTTCCAATCGAAGTGGTAGGTAATCTTTTAAACTTTACTCTAGATAGAATATACCTAAGTCAAGTGCTGACATTAAAAGAATGGATATAATCCCGGGTCCACAAATCAACCTTCCGCTATAAAATATTGTCGTCTGAGATCACGTCTCTCTACCTTTTCCCCCTTGAGACTTGTTGCCCAACGCTTAAAAAGCCTAAATAAAATACCATACGAACGTTTATAGTTTTAAAACTAAACCAAACTAACCTAATTCGATCTTACCTAACGTTATCGACCAATTCGATTGATCTTTCCCAGTATTTTACCAAGTCTTCTTAGGTCAAAGTTTAAAATTCATTTAGTACATCCTACGCCAAGCCGTGCATCCATTCAGTTTTTGATATGATGATGATAATAGAGTAATTAGGTAAAATTCAAAGATAATTAATTTTCATGATCCATTTTATGAATCTGAGTTTGCATCCTATGCTAGAGGTAGCGATGTTCAAAGGTTTGTTCTTTTTAGCGGTGGCAGAAGCAGTACTTTTGGGGGGGGGGGGAAATGTTTAGGCCTACATAGCAAACAAGAAAAATTATAGAATGTTGTATTTTAAATACGAAGCAAAAGTTCGTGATATGGTTAAATTATACGGTTAACAAATGTTAACATCAGCAGTTGTTATGTCAGAAATTTAGATTTTTTTTAATAATAAAATTAAAAATGACATAGCCGAATTTTGTAAGGATAAAATTAGAATCAACAATGATAGAGTTGGAGTTTACAGTGGTGGATTGGTAGTTTGTTGCCACCAGCACGACCACAGAGGTCGTCATGAAGCCGAGGTCGATACATGACGTCACAACTGACTGCAGACAGACCCGACCACATTCTAGGTACTGAGTACGTAGTTAGGGTACACGTCCAAACTGTCGCGGGAACAGTTGTGTTGAGGACGAAATGTATAAAATATTACTGCCACTAGTGGAAACATTCGTACACATCGATGTTTACCCAATAAATAGGATAGTTATTAAAATTATTTAGATTCCTGGAACTTTTCGTTTCAAGTATTTTTAAGGCTATAATTTTGCTAACAAACCCCAATCCTACTCGCAAAATGCTATAGGTTATGCTTATTTAATTTACATTAATAATTAATTTACAAAATTTAGGAAAATTGTTTCACGATGTCAATACTGCTGAATTCAGATCGGAAAACACTTGTTGACATGCTCACTTCGCCGGTTAATATAGTACCTGATACGCTCTATATCTCTTAAAATACACATCCTAAACTAGGCTATTTAAAATATTATTCCTTACTACTTGATTTGTATTTTTTAACGGAACACTATTATTTCTACCCGTAAACTTTGCAGGTGTCCTACCAACATCGCCTTACCCAGAGTAAAAATACTTTAAAATTTCCTACAGTTACAGAGTGTGTTTTTGACTCACCTGATGTGATTTTGGAAAGATTTTTGAATCCAGAAGACTTCTGTACACATACACTGTGAGACACGGCGCGGCACGGGCTACACTGAGATCCGCAGCGGGAGTGACGTCACAGCCACCCCTCCCCCCCACCCCCTCGCTGGGCAGCTTCCTCCCCTCGCAGACCCGGCCACACGACCCAGCTGACGGGGAACATCCAGATTTCCCGGCTGTTTTTGACAAAACATTCCTGATATGATCAAAAACTGTAGAAATATAGTTATCCATCTTGGGTAGCTCGAGTGTTCACCTTTGATCAGAAGGTCACTAGTTCAATCCTGTGATTTTAACTTCACCAACTTCAGGGAGTCAGTAGCTTTTTGATGGTAAACAGGAACCAGCAATTCTTGATCGTTGGGTTAAGTAAGTTCTTCTTTGTTCCTTTTTGGATCAAATTATTAAAAGAATTGACATAAAATAGAATTTAATAGGGATGGATTTATAGAAGTCAGGAATTAACTGTTAGGTAACTATGGAAACGTTGAAGAACAAACAAATACAAATTATTCAAAATAAACCATTGTCCAGCTGGTTTTAAACAGTATTTTGGTGCACTCACAGTACTCCTCTGCTAAAGATTTAACTTGAAATCGCACGGGAAAGCGTACATGTCTTCCAGATTTTGTTTTAATCGCAGGTTTTAATAGACTGGAACTTTTGCTTGAGATATTTAGGATGTCATACTCATCCTTTACACATATTTTCCTTAAAATATGATCCCTGGTGAGTCGAAGTAGCATTTTTAAGTGTCATTCATTATTTACCTTGATGGTTGTGAACTCGCAAGTGATCTGCCTCGACTAAAATCCAAAACATACTAGGCGTATATCATTCGGTGTTTGTTCCAACGTCTACTTGTACAGTACCTTTTATATCATCTTCAGACGTGTTTTTTTTTTTTTTTTTTTTTTTTTTTTTTTTATTCAAACTGTACATACATACATGAATAGAGTCACAGAAATAAGAACTAACAAGTACATTATGTTTCTTATTTTAACATTATTTTATTTACATACATTGCTAAATCTATGCAATACAATCCTTTATTAATGCTGTGTATTTATGAATGTAGTTAAAACATTTTTTACTCTTTTGGTTAGTCCTACATAACAAAAGGCTAAAGACAAATTTATTAAATTCGCTCACCAGTCACTAGATCTTGCAATTTGTATTTTTTCTTCTTTATCATTGAAATCGTTTTTGTAAATATATACCTACAACCAGCTCTAGTTTGCTGGTAGCAAATAAGCTTGATTATAGGATGGATTAATAGAGCTATAAAAAGAAATCTTCTATAGAATAACAAGTTTTATCTTGGAGATATTTTCTTACTAATTTCCTAAATCCCTTTGTGTGTATATTAGTTTTCAGATTTGATGGTAATTTATTAAGAAATTTACATCCGATTTGTGTTGCTTTCTTTGAGAAAAAAGTGAGGTTATGCCGGGGTATATCTATTTGATCTCTGTTTCTTGTGTTATATACGTGTATATCTTTGCGAAACACATACTTATGAATGTTATTTTTGGCAGAGATAATGCATTCTAAAATATACTGGTCATAGACAGTTAGTATATCTAATTGTGAAAAGTGGTTTCTTACAGATGTTTTAGGTTCCAGGTTTAACATTATTCGCAAAGCCTTTTTTTGAAGTTTAAGTATTTTATCTAGGTTTTGTGCACTAGTGCCCCCATAGATTGCTAGACCATATGACAGATGTGAGTGTATATGAGCAAAATAAATACATTTTAGTGTTTCTAGATTACATAAAAATGACATTCTTTTTAAGGCGTATAATCCTGAAGAAATCTTTTTTACTAAATGAAGAACATGAAGATCCCAATTCAAATGGTTATCCACAATTAAACCTAAGAATTTTGTGAATTTTATTGTCTCTACTTGACTTTGCTCTATTGATATGGACAATTCCGGATTGTCTTTATTTTGCACTGTTGAGAAGAACATTTTATTTGTTTTTCCACGATTTAAAAATAAACTGTTTTCTGAGAAATAGGATTGAAAACATTTTAATTGTTCATTACACACAATTTCAAGATCATTATAAGATTTAGATGATGTTATTAAATTTGAATCGTCAGCATACAGAACTAACTTGCTATTGCTACCTTTAAAGCTTTTTAATATAGAGGGCATTCCTTGCACATAGCACAAGAATAACAAAGGCCCAAGAATAGAGCCTTGTGGAACTCCATGTTTGATGTTTATCATTTTTGAGTTATGTTTTAAGATTTTACCAGTTGTTTCAGACACAATCTCAACATACTGTCTTCTATTAGAGAGATATGATTCAAACCAATCTATATAACGATTTGTTATACCCAGATTTTGCAATTTATTTAAAAGTATTTTGTGTGATATACTGTCGAAAGCTTTTGTAAGGTCCATAAAAATACCAACTACTTTGTTTCCTTTATCAACTGCGTCAATTATAGTGTCTGTAAAATCCATTAAAGCAGTAGTTATGGACTTGCCTTTTCGAAAACCATGTTGCTCATCATCAAAGAAATCGTTATTTACTAAATGATCCACAACACGGTTGTACATTACTCTTTCATATATTTTAGATATGGAAGTCAACAAGGACACAGGTCGATAATTTTTTACCTCAGTTTTTTCCCCTGTCTTGAAAATTGGAATCACTTTAGCAATTTTTAAACTGTCAGGAAAAACTCCAGTTATTAAAGAGCAGTTAATTATGTGTACAATAGGTTTTAAAATAGATTTTCTGACATATTTAATTAATTTTAGTGGAACCTCGTCATGACCACAAGATAGTTTATTTTTAAAAGATAAAATTATTTTACTTATTTCATTTTCATTTACTGGGCTACAACGAAATGGCTTTGTTATTGCATTTTTGGGTAGGTTAGTTCCTGTAGCTGAGTGTGAATTTAATGCTGTTTTTTGTATCAATGTTTCAATGGCTCCAATAAAATGATTATTAAAAGTGTTTGAGATGGTTAAGGGATCATTTATAATATTATTCTCCTTTTTCAAAACAGTGATTGAACTATTAGACTTATTTGCATTTATTCCTGTTTCCTTATTTATTATTTCCCAAGTTTTCTTAGAAATATTGTCAGAGTTTTTAATTTTTCCATCATAAAAGCTTTTCTTCTGTCTTATTAACTTATTTTTATAATCTTTGTTTCTCTGCTTACAAATATGGAGAAGCTCATTATCACCTGTACATCTGGCTTGTTTTTTTAATTCCGCTATTTCATTTTTTTCATGTATCAGATTTGAATCCATCCAGTCATTTTTGTTGTTTGAAAACCTTTTTACACACTTTTTAGGGAAAACTAAATTAAAATTATATTGAAATATGTTGTCAAACACTGTAAACTTATCTTCTACATTGGCGATATACAAAGGTAACCAGTTTTCATTATGCAACAACGTGTTAAAAACATTCATATTCCTTTCTGAGAAATCTCTCCTCTCAATATACTTAAAATTAATTTTTAACTTATGGTCTACGGGCACATTTACTTCTAAAACCTGGCCATCATGATCGGAAAGAGCAGTTATTATTCCTGTTACATTTGTTTGAGATTTATCTAAGTTAGTAATAAAATTATCTATTGCAGTTGCTGAATTGGGAGTTATTCTAGTAGGAAAATCAACCAAATAATGAAAGCCATTCGCATAAAGAATATTTTTAAAATCTTTAACCTCTGCTTTTGAACTCAAAACATCAAAATTAAAATCTCCAGCTACTATAAAGTTGGTTTCATCCTTCAAATCAAGTAAAATTTCTAATAGCCTATCTAATCTAGATAGAAATTCAACATTTTGCATTTGAGGTTTTCTATAAATTCCTACAAGTACAAATTTAAAATTGTTCACCTTATATTTTGCTATACAACATTCAAAAAGTTTATCCTCTGTCAAATCATCTATTTTTTGTAGGTTCAATGATTTAGCTTTCAAACCCACCTCTGACAATATCACCACTCCTCCCCCAGATGTGGTTGTTCGACTGTATTCTGAAGTTACTGAAAATTTGTTTAAATTAAATCTCTCCATTTCACATTTTGTCATATTATGTTCAGTTAATACTATTATATTAGGTTTAATTTCTTCTAGAACGATCTCTAAAGATTCCTTTCGGGAATCCAAATGTTGAATATTTTGGTGAAAGATTTGTAAAAAATTTGAGAATTTAGAATTTTTGTCAGATGAATTTAAATTTTTAGACCTATTATGAATTTTTGAGCTCAGGTCAGATTGATGACATTGGTCAGTTGTGAGTTTAAATTACATGATTGGGTCTGGTGAGGTTTTTCCGACTGACTATTACTATTGCTGTTGTTATCAAAAATACCCTTATTCAAACTATTATTATGGTTTTTTTCTAAGTTAGAGCTATTTACAGACATTTCTTTCAAAGCTTCCCCCTCCTGCGCACATGACACTGGACTGACCATGATTTTATCACCACACACATTATTACACGGCAGGTTACTCTTGGCAATGTTTGAGAAGATGTCTCGCAGGTGATGTATGAAGTCTGGGTGGGACAGGCCTCCTCGCAGTTTTCTGCTGGAACGTTCATCGCATGTGACTATTTGAATGACTGCTCCTGTGATCTGCTGAAATTCTTCCAGCTTAGCTGCGAAGTGTTGTACTGGTACCTCATCACGTACACATCCCATTGGGGAGCAAAATAGGTATTTTAGTCCTTTTGTCCTGAAATCTTCACATAAGTCATTGAATGCTAAATCATAGTCTTTTAAGTTTGGTTTGCCGTTGTAAACAGACTTGGTTACCAACCCATATACTGTAGTCCCTCCACTGATTTTCTGGCATGTCAAATGGTTACTCAGGCGGTCGGAAGCTAAAGGTTTCCCAAATTGTTCTTTAAAGGCTTGCGCTACACCTGCACTCATTTGTTTGTTGCAATTTAGATCTGCTGAAATGCAATGACTAAATGCCACGAGAGAATTGTCTTTAAATTTAGAGAAAAAATCCCTCATGTCAGCTTTA